CTACTCGACAGTGTATCCGAACCTCTCGATGTTTGCTGCGGGGCTTGCGACCGTACTTCCGTCCTCCCACTCGGGGGAAGCCGACTTCTCCATCCTAAAGAACACAAGAAGCGACTCGCGTCGCTCGCTCTCCAACTACGCAATGGAAGTCCCGATGCAGTCCAAGCAATACAAGGAGCTGTAGGCAGCCGTCACCTCGATGCAACGCGCCACGCATCGAATCGCACCGCGGAATGCGACGGTATTTTCATTGATTGCGTAATCATCTTCTCAATATATCTTGAAGTTTGTATACATTTCGGCTCCAAGGAGGATCCAAGGCGGAGCCCAAATGAGGCACGAAAAAGCTTAAGATTGGATGAGGCTAAAAATCCAAGATTGCAGAGGCCTGGTCATGCCTACTGTACCCACTGGTACATACCACATGTTATTGAACTTAGTAACAGTGTAAATAAAGAGCGGTAAATAACATGCATTCACGTACTATTAATAGTACGTGTAAACATGATGAAATACATCCTAGTGGCCATCTCCAGTGGCATTGTTGTGGACTCATGCGAGGAACTAGGAAAACTTAGAGGAATCATGCCTTCCACCGTCGTGGAGGAAGTACACATGTCCCGAAATGAACGTGACGTTTGTGTGATTCATGCGGTGTGTACTACTGGGGTATGACGGTTCTGTTTTTTGCTCGCGAGCTAAAGGATCGCGGAATGTTTCAGGAACCTATCTCATATTTTTTCCCCAACCAGTCCCCAAACGGGACGCCCAAGCCCCACACGTACAGCAACCACCTCCCAACCTGCCTCTCATCGAATGCTCCCACCGGTATCCGATCCAACGTCTTCCAGCCCGTCCATCCAGCACTCTACCCCTAACCCTATACTAGTATACGAAGAAGCAGTGAACAATATGGACGCGAGCTAAGAGCTCGCGAGCACAGACATTAAATCCCGGGGTATGATCAGGCTGGCGAAACACGTCGGCGATATCTGTGGTAGATGCGACAACTTGGTCGCTCCGCTTGGTAACATTTGCACAATCGTTTCCGATTGGGAACATACACACATCGTGCGACCAACGAGATGTATACCGTTAATGGTACCGTTTAGTCCCAGAAATGAAAAACTGTTCTTCGAGTTACTTCTTGGGCATACATTATGTAGTAGCATGCTCACACCCTGGATTTGAGCCGACAACAACTTTGCATACTAGTACTTCGTGATAAACAACCATTTGGAACGGACTTACCCGGCGATGACAATGGTATTGTAAAAAGATGATTGCTGGGTAATTAACCGACACGTGTGTGTCCGACCTACCGCTGCCAAGTCCATGAACGATTGCCGTCAAGGCGGCGCGCGTCGCTCACCTGCACTTGTACCACAGCCTCGTACAAGAGCCCGAGCAGCCTTCTCTTCAACGGCTTCTCCGGCTCCTCGCCCAACACGAGTGGCCGCGATGTCACCTCGTCCCGCGGATCGCGCTCTTGCCCCCGCCTGCCTAAATCAAGTTCCTCAACCGAGTACACACAACGAAAAAAGTCTGACTATTTATTTAGCATAGTTTTATCTATTGTAATATACGACCCACTTCACTTCAACAACAACCGACACGTGTGTGGGAACTGTATGTGGTGCGCACTTATTAACCGCTCCCCTGACAACGAGGGTACGTAGCGTATCGATCTTCTTTCACACAAGAACATCAGCGATACTGAAGCGAAGAACGAAGGTTCAAAACCAGCCGTTATTGGGCGAACTGAGGCGCCTTGTTTCGTTGACAGAGTGGAAGCCGAGGCATCACGGACTGTCACTGATGACACGGACGTGAGAAACTATGGAATCAAGCTCACAGATTCGCTGCCTTCGTACGCAGCTCCTACCCACCACTTTCATATCTGTGTAAACTCGCTCGTTTCTTCTTCATTTCAAAACCAACCCGCCCGCCTCACATTGATTTCTCTTGTACAATGATTTCTCTCGTGTACCCCGCCACCACCAAGGAGGCAACCAAGCAGCTCGAGATCATTCCGCACGTGAAGTTTCCAACGCTAGACTCATATCTCAATGACTTCGACATTGTCCTGACGGAGACCTCATTTACGCTTTCCACGACTAGTGTACTTGGCGCAGCGTGGCAGTGCTTTCTGAACCTCTTCAAGCCCTCACTTGAGCCAACGACGGCATAGGGACCTCAAGCGTATCTTGCTTGGACTACTGTAACCATGTATTATTGCCATTGAATTGTTGTG